TTGTTTAAAGGTTTTTAACATATTTGACCCCTGTGACCTTGAATATAAGTCAAGGTCATTCATTTGAACAAACTAGGTAGCCCTTCATCCCAGCATGCTACTGGTCAAATACCTTAACCCTAGGCCTTTTAGTTATTCAGAAGAAATTGTTTAAGGGTTTTTAACATATTTGACCCCTGTGACCTTGAATATAAATCAAGGTCATTCATTTGAACAAACTTGGTATACCTTCATCCCAGCATGCTACTGGCCAAATATCATTATCCTAAGCCTCTTGGTTATTCAGAAGAAGTTGTTGAAAGGTTTTAAACATATTTGACCCCTGTGACCTTGAATATAAGTCAAGGTCATTCATTCGAACAAACTTGGTAGCCCTTCATCACAGCATGCTACTGGCCAAATAGCATCATCCTAGGCCTTTTGGTTATTAAGAAGAAGTTGTTTAAAGTAAAATATTGACACCGGACGACGGACGACGGACGACAGACGACGGACAGACGGACGATGGACGCTGCACCATCGCATAAGCTCAGCCAAGTGAGCTAATAATTGAATTTTAAATGAAGGTATGTGGCAGTTACTAAAATGCAAAGTCAAATTGAACAAAAGATATTGAAAAATATTCCAAACAATAAATCTAAATACTGCAAAAAAAAAAGATACAAGTAAAATGGGGAAAAAAAATCAGATATTTTGATTAGACAAAGAAGAAACATGAAAATTCAAAACATAAATAAATCCAGGAAAACCTGACACCGATGTATGAAGTTGATGGTCACATGGCAACAACCAATCCAATTAAAATTCAATCATGCTCTGTTTCATAACATAAAAAAAGTTGTGTACAACAGATTGAGTGTCAGTCTTACCAATGTGTATTGGTATGTACATAATATGTGTTGAGAAAGCATCATTAATAAGGGAGAACGAAAGACCTCCAGAAAGTGCCTAACTAAGCGGTAGTCTTACACCATGAGGGGGTCACCAACGATAAACATAATGGATCCGAGTACAAGACTTCAGTTCAATTCGATGTGGGAACAGAAGGCCCAGACGGCCTGTATCACTCACCTGTTTTTTTGTTACATGAAACTGACATATATGTAACTTCAGACCAAATTTGGTAACTAGAACACCAGACATTTTAACATCTCTTAAACGCCTCTTAAGATGTTGTTGTTTGAAATTTCACAAATTTTAATTTTAAAGCTTTTAACCCACGTTGACCTTTGACTCCGACTAGCACTTTAAGTTGACCTTTGACCTCGTCACTATAATCAAGAAAAAAGATTTGCACTGCTGGTCTACATAACATACTCAAGTATCATGACTCTAGGATATTGTTGTTTGAAGTTTTAACATATTTGACCCCTGTGACCTTGAAAAAAAGGCCAAAGTCATTTTAATAAGGAAACTTTATAGCACTTCATCCCAGGTACCTACTGGCCAAATATCATGACCCTAAAATAGCAATCTTTATATCAGAGGACGATGAGAAACGTCACAGCATGTTGGGTAACATGAACATTAAAATTTTGCTGAATATTAATTTTTATTTTTTATTTTTTTGTGGTTACAGCAGAACCAGCAATATAGATACAGAGAGTATGAGTGATTTAACAGGTTCAAAGTTAAAATGTACAACTGCTTGTAACAATGATACAGTTTGTGAATATAACACAGAATGTACCCACAAATGTTTCATGTCATGCAGTACCCAAATATGGAAACTAGCTGTCAATTTTCTCAGTATGGAAGCCATCTTTATTCTATAATCTTATTATTGATCAATTTTCTAATTTAGAAGGCAAATGTCATATATTTCAATATAGAAGCTGCATATATACCAATTTCTAATACAAGAGAAAGCTGTGTTACTTGCCAATATTGAAACTAAATATGTTAAATTATAATACAAATTACAGATATCTATTTTCCCTATAGAAAAGAAGCTGTTTAATTTTTCCAATACACAAGCTAGCTACCTAGTTTTTTCCAATACATGTATAAAATCTAGCAAAACAGAAGCTTGCTTTGGAAAACAGAAACTAGCTGTTTTAACTTTAAATACAAAAGCTAGCTGATCAGTTTTCAAAAAGAAATAAGCTAGCTGTCCAAGTTGATGGGAGAAACAGCTGTTGACTTGCAACATACCTTTGTGCTGGACCTCCTGTGATACTACAAAGTACCGACATTGTAACCATTGATTACAATCACCTTAGGAAATACTAGGCATATTGACCCTTGTTACAACAGATAATCAGAGTAAACCTTGGTCTAAAGGAGGCAAATCATTGACATTACTAAGGAATAGGCTGTGCAATTGTTTGTTTGCTTCAGTTTGAGATATGGGGATGGCAACAACACAAACACTTGATAATGATATTTACCTTAAGATTGCATTAATACAATGCTCCATCTCTGCTGACCCGCAAGTTTTTGAAATATGGACACATTGTGCCTATATATGATTAATCTGAGTTGCCGTACAATTAATGTGTTAGTATTCATCATTGTCAAATTACTAAAATTTCTGAGAAAGTTGTTTTTCAATTGCATGGTTAATGACAAAACGTAAAGACATACCACCACTGTCTTTAAATAATTATGAACAAAATCAAGGAACAAAATGTATTGCTTTTTCATGAACAAATTACAATGGTAGTGCAAGAAATTTCACTAAAATCCTACACTAATAGAAATATTCTACCACATAGGATCATAATCAAATACAACATAGTACAAAAATACACAACAACGAATATAGCATTGTCAAACCTCATTATCAATAACTCAAAAAGCTGTTAACCCCAGATAAACAAAATCAAACAGCTGAAAATATTATATCTGATTTCCCCTCTTGTAATATTTCATGATTATACTGTATTTCCATTTGATTGAGTGATGGCCAGGTTAAATTTTCTGTATTTTCCTGCCTATTGGAGGCCAGACTAATGAGATTTCACATTTCATCAAAAGGTTTATCTATTATCATTATGAAATAAAATCAACAGGTGGAAATTTGTACTAAGCATAATGGTAGGGATATATAAACAGACACACAATGATTGGTTGGTTTGGTTTACCTAGGGTTTTCATTGGTCCACTGTGGGTGCTACCACCATGCCCTGGACTGTTACAGTAGGGTGGTCCAAACCCCTCGTTACAGTGACACTGGCCCATACTGTTACACACCTGCAAATAATAGCAGTTTAAGATAAAACAACTTGATGATCACTTTTCATGATTGTTCATGAGACAAATACTTGTCAAAGGACTCAGATAAGGCTTTAAAATAATCACGATGTTTTAATTATACAAAAAATTAATTCAATACTCCAATGACGTGAGAAACAATGTGATTCTGACATTAAGCTCTGTTACCGTTTTATTTAAGAATCTAACTTACCCCATTGCCATGGCAGTTTGGACATGGCAAAATCTGCAGCATACTAAGTGGCGTGCACTTGTTGGAAAGACAAATCTACAAAAACATTGGGAGTAAAAATAAAATTTTCAAAATATTGTTTCCAGTTTCAATGTTATTTCCTTTACACTTCTATAAAATATGGTAAATATCACTGTTCAAATGAGTATAGATAATTCATCTACAGGTTAATGAATTCAGAGTTCTCTCCCTTATCAGTATAGTCCTCTCCCCACTTCGTCCCCCTCTCAGCCATAGGTATCCTTCTACACACAGCTGCTGTATCGTCTATTGCTCTTTAGCCCTATACAAAATTTAAACAGCATTCAGCTGAATAATTATAGTTATCTGGTTTCTTAATATAAGTCAAAGTGTTCATGATTGTTATTTTTGAAATTGTCAGCATACAATAAATACCCATGGGGTTCCATTTTATTGTTGTTACCTTCTTGTCACCACACCTGGCACCATCGGGTGCCATACCAGGATCTGGCATGTCCAGTCCAACATCCAGTATGACTGACCGGCACACATATCGTTCTCTGCCCTTAGTGAGGAAAGTGGCTGGAGTGGCCTTGGCTAAACTCTCGCGCCAGAACATTAACTTCTCATTCAGGTGGACACAGTGTAGCAATCCACACATCACATCACTGGAAAATCAAAAACTGCCTATCTAAAACAGCTAGTCTCTACATTCAGGATTAATCTTCAATAATTTGCTTTTGCCAATATTAAAAGTTTTTCTTCACTAAAGAAAATAACAGTCTGATTCAAATACTCAAACACATAACAGTAATCTGTTTGTGGTAAAACAAAGTTTTCAATTACTGTTTGTGTAAAAAAATACTCTTAGAATTTATCAAATGTAATCTTTTTAAAGGTGAATGCTGATATAAATATTAAGTTTGCCAAAAAATATTCAATAACAACTACCCCAAACTGGATGTCATTATTGAGTTTTTTCCCCGTCATTCAGCCAGCCTTAAGCCTTTATGTGTCCGTTGAATACATGGGAAGTAACTTTACTTAAACTTCTTAGTATTGAAAGCAAAAACATGAGAATGACAAATATAAGAGTAACTGACTTGACGTACTCTTTATCACAGCGAATGTACTTCTCCCTTTTCCAGTCGTAGCCACAGTTGCCATGTTTGCTGCCATTAGTGTTGAGGTGCTTAAAACAGATGGGGTCGGACACCCGCCCGGTTGACCCCCACAACATGCTGCACTGGTCTGTGTGGGTCTTACAGAGCCCTTGGTAGCAGTACGACTGGTAAAAATACAACATGTAAACCTTAACATGACATTTACGATTCTCTGACAATTTTATCTTCATTTCAACTTTTATTCATTATATTTTTTTAAATATTGAAATGTCACTGGTGTCATATGATGTAGATAAAACTAGCTATCTGGTCCCAAGAAAGCCCTTTGATGTGAAAGAAACATTTTTTTTTAATTCTTAGTATTCATGTAAATAAAAAAAACTGATACATAAAGAGATAATTTCAAATAAAATGTGACACACAAGGTTCTGCTACTTACAGTTCTTAAAGAGGAGAGAAGACAGACAACTTACTTGCTTGTCCTTACAGGGAAGACCATTCTGGAGATAGACATCACTTGGACAGTACTCAGATTCTCCGTTACAAAACTCTGCAAGATCACATTCTTCCATGGCAGCCCTGCATAGGGTGGCAGCTGGTTTGGGCTGAAACAGACAATACAAACATGTACGATATTGATGTTTCTTTGACGGGAAGTAGACAAGATATTATCATAAGAATTTAACTGATGAAAACCTGTGTGTGGAAATAATGAGGAAGCTTCAAGAAATCAAAATATTCTTCAAAGTTATGTCATTGAAATCATTTAAGGTGCCAAAATATAAGATACCCGGCAGTATTTATATCAAATTTCAGGTCCAGGTCAAAACTGAACCTCAGCAAATAAGTGATATTTTAAGTATTTGAAGGAAATTTAAGGGAATGTTTTCAAGTATCCTTGCACAGAAAAGTTTTTATAGGTAATCACTGTATGTGTCCTTTGCTTTATAGGCAACAGTAAGGCTGTCCCGAGGCTGTCCTGTTTTCCTGTACAACTATACCTTGCAAGTGTCCTGATTACAACAGCTGCCTGTGGCACACTCGGCCCCTCGTTTCAGTCGACATGTTGAAGCATTACAACATTTACTTGTACAGTCCTGTAATCACAAACATACATCATATCATATTTATTCAGGGTTTTCATTAAGAACAGGCAGCAGGGCAAATGACTGGTTCAGTTCTATATTTGTCCTGTTCAAATCACCTTTACCTTATATATCTCCTAAGTAATTTTACAAAAGTTGGCTGGTTAAAAATGTCATTTGGTATGTTCAGAAAGAAGTTACTGAAAAGCATGTTTCTTTTTATTAAACTAAGAGATAAGTACTGGGAACCATATATTCTAACATACACCACAGTATATTTCATTTCTGTTCCATGATATAACTTGACCTGTGGAAACTGTACTAAAATACCTCTGCCAAACCACAGTCACACTCCTCCCCGTCCTCCACAAATGTGTTCCCACAGACTGGCCCCTCATATAGGTTTTCTGGCATGTTCTTCAGACAGTAGTCCATACCAAGTTCGAAGGCCTCAATGATTGCCACTCGGGAACAGGTAGACCATTGGGATGGACTCGGGGACCTAGTCATTAAAACAACAGATTACAATGCTAGAAATCTTCCTGGGGACAAAATGCTTACCAGGGAACATGGATACAACATTACATGACACAACAGGAGGAGATTCTGTTTAGTTTCTTCAGGACACCTGTATAATATCCATGTGTGCTTACAAAGAAACACCAGACAAAAATAAAGGTAAGTAGATTGCCATATCTTACCCACAATATTGTGGTCTAGAAAGCTATGCAGCTTTGATTGTGTACATTATTACCATTACTACCAAGTTATTTTTTATGTTTATGTGAAGAAACACCAGCTCACGCAGTGTTGAATTTGACATTGTTGGGTGTGTAAAGAAGCATAAAGACATCAAGGGGTAAAGATTCAAGCAATACTGTACCCTCCACTGGTGGGCGCCATTATACACTTCTCCTGTTTACACCGACATACAGAGTAGTTATCATGGTCCATCCCAAAGTTGTGGCCGAGTTCATGAGCAACAGTAGTAGCCACATGAGTAATTCTAGTACGATCCTGAAAAAGATAGAGCAGTGCATTTCAAAGTAAGAAGATAAGTATCTGTTATACTTGATAAGATTCTATCAGTGTGAACATGGTCCCTTTGAATGATCAACATGAAATCTATGTGTCCCTGGAAAAACATCATGTAATATATGTGTGGTATCCTGGTGAGTGTACACACAATTGATGTTTATCTGCCTGGGAGTGATCCACAAATGTATCCACACAGGTAATTTGTCAAATGTATCCTTATATAATTAAGAGTTATCCAGACAGCTAAATTGTGGTACTTGTCCTGAGAATTGATCTTCCAAGGTGGTTTGAGTCCCAGTGAGTGATCTAGAGAGGTAATTTGTGATATGTGTTCCTGGAAGTGATTTACACAGGTAATTTGTGTTTGTTGTCCCTGAGAGTTATCTACACAGGTAATTTGTATTATGTGTTTCTGGGAGTGATCTATCAAGGCAGGTAATTTGTGTTATGTGTCTCTGGGAGTGATCAAGGCAGGTAATTTGTGTTATTTGTCTCTGGGAGTGATCAAGGCAGGTAATTTGTATTATGTGTCTCTGGGAGTGATCTATCAAGGCAGGTAATTTGTGTTATTTGTCCCTGGGAGTGATCAAGGCAGGTAATTTGTGTTATTTGTCTATGGAAGTGATCAAGGCAGATAGTTTGTGTTGTGTGTCTCTGGAAGTGATCAAGGCAGATAATTTGTGTTATTTATCCCTGGGAGTGATCAAGGCAGCTAATTTGTATTATTTATCCCTGGGTGTGATGTACCCACTTGATTTGCATTATGTGTTAATTGCCTTATGTTCCCTGGAAGTGATATACACAGGTAATATGTGTTATGTTCCCTGGGAGTGATCTACACAGGTAATATGTGTTATGTTCCCTGGGAGTGATCTATACAGGTATGTGCTATGTTCCCTAGGAGTGATCTACACAGGTGATCTATACAGGTAACATGTGTGATGCTCCCTTAGAGTGATCTATACAGGTAATATGTGTTATGTTCCCTGGGAGTGATCTATACAGGTAATATGTGTTATGTTCCCTAGGAGTGATCTATACAGGTAATATGTGTTATGTTCCCTGGGAGTGATCTATACAGGTAACATGTGTTATGCTCCCTTGGAGTGATCTATACAGGTAATATGTGTTATGTTCCCTGGGAGTGATCTACACAGGTATGTGCTTGTTCCCTGGGAGTGATCTATACAGGTAACATGTGTGATGCTCCCTTGGAGTGATCTATACAGGTAATATGTGTTATGTTCCCTGGGAGTGATCTATACAGGTAATGTGTGTTATGTTCCCTGGGAGTGATCTATACAGGTAATATGTATTATGTTCCCTAGGAGTGATCTATACAGGTAACATGTGTGATGTTCCCTGGGAGTGATCTATATGTATATATGTACAATATGTGTTATGTTTCCTGGAATCATCTTCACATGTAATATGTGATATGTGTTCCAACTTATTAGAGAGTGATTCAAAAAGGCAGGTAATCTCATTGTTGTGGGTTCCTTGGTGTGATATGCAGATAATCAATATGTGTCAGTTCCTTGGGAGTGATTCCTAGGTAAAAGTACAGCATGATCTGCCATGCAGACTTATGGTGACAAGATAAATATTACTCCTTACAGGGGATTCCCAGGGTCACCAGAGACAATATAGCTCATGACAGGGGATTCCCAGGGTCACCAGAGACAATATAACTCCTGACATGGGATTCTCAGGGTCACCAGAGACAATATAACTCCTGACAGGGGATTCCCAGGGTCACCAGACACAGTATAACTCCTTACAGGGGATTATCAGGGTCACCAGAGACAATATAACTCTTGACAGGGGATTCCCAGGGTCACCAGAGACAATATAACTCCTGACATGGGATTCTCAGGGTCACCAGAGACAATATAACTCCTGACACGGGATTCCCAGGGTCACCAGACACAGTATAACTCCTTACAGGGGATTATCAGGGTCACCAGAGACAATATAACTCTTCACAGGGGATTCCCAGGGTCACCAGAGACAATATAGCTCCTGACAGGGGATTCCCAGGGTCACCAGAGACAATATAACTCCTGACAGGGGATTCCCAGGGTCACCAGAGACAACTGTCAAAAGCATAGTCAGCCTTTTTTCTCCAGCAAGGCAACAAAGATGGAATATGAAATGTTCTAACCCTGTAACACCAATTTTTGCATGACATGTGTAACATGAAAACAGATGATAAATCAATCAAGAACATTAATTTTAGTAAAGTTGTTAAGCTTTCAATATCTTAAACATATGGACCAGGATAAAGAGCTTATATATTTGAGATCTTCACATATTTTACCATAGCATGACAACAGGTCATTTATAAAACATGAATTTGTGTAACTGAGACATATACAACTACACTGCATGTGTGAGGTAATGTTAACCAGGATATCAACATGCCAAAGGTATCATGTGGCTTCAGCACTACAATTTGTACTAAAAGTTTACTTCCTTATTTCAGTATGAAACAAAACCAGTGAAATAAACAGACATCTGCCTCTATCAGTAGTTATTGTTTAGCTTTTAAACAGGTGACGGCTTGAGAAGAAAAGTACAAAAATTATTTCATCTATTAGAACTATTCTATTTTACGGTCTCAAGTTTTGAATTATAAAATTTAAGGTAATATTAATAGGAAAACGATATCACTGAATGTGTCTGTCATTAGATCACAATCAAACCAGGGAACACTAAAGAAATTTCCTGAAGGACAAGAAAGAAATCACGCTTAAGAAATGTCATCAGACTTTAGAGAGCCTACTGGTATTAACTTCAAATGTACATACCACCGTAACTAACCTGATAACAGCAACAAAATTATATTAATATCAACAATTCCGCACTAGCTTGTAAAATAAATTCAATTTGGCCAATGTCTCAAGTAGCCCCTGTATTGATCTAAACACATGCTACCTTACATACACTGTACTGCAGTAGTGATTAGGTTAAATTGTCATAACTCTGCTGTAATCTTCCTTATCTGTCTCTACTTACCATGTCCACGCCTCCAGAGTACTGGTGGGTACATATAGAAGATTTTATTGCCTTCCCCACAACACCGTCATTGAATGTCTGGCCCCTTAAAATAACATTTTATTACAATAAATACCATGATACTAGTGCAGTAAAACCTCAATATAATGCTCCAGGTTTCATTGCTTTCTGCCAACATGTTTCATTGCTTTCTGCCAACATATTCACAGTTCCATTTTTCTTCTTTCCCAACATTTCCATAATGTCTACCTTGATTAATTTCCATGTTATAATATTTTCATGTCAAAATTAAGCTGGACAAAGGGTGAAAAGTTTTCCTGTATATGCATTGCACTTAATCAATCCAACTACTGCAGATTCTATTTTTAAAAATTGACCTTTTGATAAAACAATTAAATTTTTAAGTACTGAATTTCTTTCTGACCAAGTCTTGTCACAAGTAAAACTCACGTGATGAGCTGAGCATTGTCATTCTGGTGGTAGGGGTTGATGCGTTGTTTGCGGTACAAGAGGAATTTCTCCAGTGAAGAGTTGGCATAGGGTGAGATGGTAACCTGATCCGAGTCCGACCATATCTCTACCCCCACAAGGGCAATGTAAATGTTGAGTGGACGGTACAACTGCAAACCAAAAAACTAATAATCATACATTGAATATAATAGAAACATATATATACAATAAATTGTACTTTTTATCACTTGCCATTTTTAAAGATCCCCTTCTTGTACATTTAAAGAATTCTTATACAATGTATCTGTATAGAAGTCTCCCTCAATACTTTAAGTCTTAACTAGAACTGTAAGCCAAAGGCTAACTAATACCCCTAGCTCCAATATAAACCAGACTGTAAGCTAAATGCTAACTAATACCCCCAGCTCCTAAATAAACCAGAACTGTAAGCCAAAGGCTAACTAATACCCCCCGCTCCTAAATAAACCAGAACTCTAAGCCAAAGGCTAACTAATACCCCTACCTCCTATATAAACCAGAACTGTAAGTTAAAGGCTAACTAATACCTCCGCTCCTATATAAACCAGAAATGTAAGCCAAAGGCTAACTAATGCCCCCCGCTCCTATATAAACCAGAAATGTAAGCCAAAGGCTAACTAATGCCCCCAGCTCCTATATAAACCAGAACTGTAAGCCAAAGGCTAACTAATTGGCTTGTTGGTTGGTTGATGGGTTTATAGACTACTTTTCACAGGCAAAGCCTGTGTTCTGTCGTCTTGAGGGGGTAAGACTCAAGCTTACCGGGCCCTCGGTGATTCAAAATAACCTTGCCCGTCCAAGTCACGCCCTAAGGTCGGTCAGCTCCTTAGATGCGTATAGGCTGTCGCAGTTACATACAGCACGTATACGGGAACACGTAAAACACGTCCTTAAAACAGCTTCACTGCCCTCTTATGAGGCTAACTAATACCCCCTGCTCCTATATAAACCAAAACTGTAAGCCAAAGGCTAACTAATACCCCCTGCTCCTATATAAACCAGAACTGTAAGCCAAAGGCTAACTAATACCCCCAGCTCCTATATAAACCAGAACTGTAAGCTAAATGCTAACTATAAGGCAAAGCATTGCAAAGTAATCCAGTCTCCCACCAGAAATATTTTTTCTTATTAACTAAGCTGTACACTTATTTAAGTATAAGTGACCACTGACTTACTTCCTGTACTCCCTCCCAATGCCAAAACATACTTGCAAATAAAATCTTGTTAGCTCAGATGAACCAGTTTTGCTGAAATCGTCCTAGCAGTTAAGGAACAGTTGTCAGGACAAAGTTTTTGAACAAAGTGTCATAACTCTTTAAAAAGAGTCGAAATGAAAAAATTATACCTTGATGCATGACATCAGGGGGTAATTTCCGTATCTGTAAACTTTCATTTAAATCAGCCCAGTAGTTAAGGAGGCAGACAAAGTTTTTTTCAACAAAGGACCATCATTCCTTTTAAAAGGGTCAGAATGAAAAAGGACTACTTGGATGCACAACATCAGGGGGCAGTTACCATATCTGTAAACTTTCTTTGAAATTGGCCCAGTAGATTAGGTAAAGCTGTCCAGGCAAGCAGTTTTCAACAAAGGGCAATAACTCCATAAAAAGGGTCAGAATGAAAAAATAATACCTGGATGTACAATATCAGGTGGTAGTTATTATATCTGGAAACTTTCGTTAAAATTGGCCCTGTAGTTTTGGAGGAGTTGTCTGGACAAGGAATTTTCAACAATGGGTCATAACTTTGTTAAAAAAAAAGTGTCACTAGTGGTCTAGTGGGAGGGTTTTATAATACCCTGTCTACAGACCATACTGTGGTCTAGTGTGAGGGTCATACAATACTCAGTCTTCAGACCATACAGTGGTCTAGTGTGAGGGTCATACAATACCCTGTCTACAGACCATAATGTGGTCTAGTGTGAGGGTCATACAATACTCAGTCTTCAGACCATACATTGGTCTAGTGTGAGGTTCATACAATACCCTGTTTACAGACCACACATTGGTCTAGTGTGAAGGTTATACAATACTCAGTCTTCAGACCATACATTGGTCTAGTGTGAATTTCATACAATACCCTGTTTACAGACCATACATTAGTCTAGTGTGAGGTTCATACAATACCCTGTTTACAGACCATACAGTGGTCTAGTGTGAAGGTTATACAATAACCTGTCTATAGACTATACAGTGGTCTAGTGTGAGGGTCATACAATATCCTGCTGACAGACCATACTGTGGTCTAGTGTGAGGGTCATACAATACTCAGTCTACAGACCATACATTGGTCTAGTGTGAGGTTCATACAATACCCTGCTGACAGACCATACTGTGGTCTAGTGTGAGGTTCATACAATACCCTGCTGACAGACCATACTGTGGTCTAGTGTAAGGGTCATACAATACCCTGCTGACAGACCATACAGTGGTCTAGTGTGAAGGTTATACAATACTCAGTCTTCAGACCATACAGTGGTCTAGTGTGAGGGTCATACTATACCCTGCTGATAGACCATACTGTGGTCTAGTGTGAGGTTCATACAATACTCAGTCTTCAGACCATACAGTGGTCTAGTGTGAGGTTCATACAATACCCTGTTTACAGACCATACAGTGGTCTAGTGTGAGGGTCATACAATACTCTGCTGACAGACCATACAGTGGTCTAGTGTGAGGGTCATACAATACTCAGTCTTCAGACCATACATTGGTCTAGTGTGAGGTTCATACAATACCCTGTTTACAGACCACACATTGGTCTAGTGTGAAGGTTATACAATACTCAGTCTTCAGACCATACATTGGTCTAGTGTGAATTTCATACAATACCCTGTTTACAGACCATACATTAGTCTAGTGTGAGGTTCATACAATACCCTGTTTACAGACCATACAGTGGTCTAGTGTGAAGGTTATACAATAACCTGTCTATAGACCATACAGTGGTCTGATATGAATGTCAAACAATACCCAGTCTACAGATCTAGACCAGTTGTCAAATGATGCGACCAGGTGATACTCAACCTACAGACCATTACACAGATGAGTCTCCATCTTTAGATCATACAGCCAACTATGTCTACTGCCATTTAAAATGAAATAATGTTTATCATATGGGAAGTTCTAAAGAACACTGGTTGTTACAGTGCAGCATCTGATATCAAAGTATGTGTGAGTGTTTGTGTCCTGTGCTCTCTTTGATAGGGGAAACAGGGGAAATCTCCACACACCCACTCTAATACACTGATCAGGACATCGTGAACAGGGCTACACTAAGATGTGGCTAAATGCTCACTATTGGAGACAATCTCATGTGCACTGCATAGAGGTAAAACACCACAAACACTTTTCAAGACCTATTGTGTTTTACAATCCTTTCCAAGCACGGTCAGACCCTTGTCACAGTCAATGTAAAGTAGTTTAAAAATAGTTGGCTGATAATATCATAATGTATGTAAAAATAGATTTCTGTTTCAACTTCATGTATTATGTAACAATTCTGAATGCCAAGAGTTCACCTTAAGCTTGAAAATCCAAATAATTTATGAAAACAATTGAAACCAGCCCCCAATCCAGGCAGAACGACAGAGGATTAGCTTTCCCAAAAGGCATTGATACCAATCCTTATCTTTGATCAGACGCACCTCATTATGATTTGTGGGAGTGACACAGGACCTTTGTGATCTCAAGTGTGTTGGATAGGAGGTGAGTGAGTGCAGACTATTTATCTCCCCTATTGACATTGAACCCTGGTGTGTTCGGATCTGGTCTAGCTATTCTTAATCTGTATGGCTAGTGTACAGTTATGTCTCATGACCATGTGTCCTTAATCTCAACAGGAATTTGTATTATGGTACTAGGTGGCCAGAGAGGTCCTATCACTGGGTCATTGACCTTCATGGCAGATAATCAACATTCTGTACTCAGCAAGAAGCTGGACATTTCAGACCTATTATAAAATGTATTACTATCTTCTGTATACCATAGAATTATATTAAGGAGGTTGTGATTTCCTATTAGTCCCTTAGAAAGGTGCCTGCATGAAAAGATCTTCTCCGTAAAGTTCAAAGCTTTAAGGTAATCACAGAGGGCAATGACACCAGCAGCTACAGGTATTTGTGCAGGCATTAATGTTCCAGAATAAGTCCACATTAACCAATGATAATTATAAATCTAAGTACCAGGAAAAACACACAGATTGATAAAATCTATGAGGTCTCCATGGTATTCGGTAATTATGTCCATATTTTAACCAATCATATCAGCTGAAACTATAGAGTTTCACTAACATACATATTGTTATCTTCTCAGTATTGTAGGGAAAGATAGAGAACCGAACACATAATATATCTTTTAGATATTTATACCCAAAATACGAGTCTGAGAAAATATCCGCGTTGAGTATGGTTTTAAAAGCTGATACCTACCCTGCTAACAATATTAGCTATGTCAATACCTACCCTGCTGCCAATATTAGCTATGTCAATACCTACCCTGCTGACAATATTAGCTATGTCAATACTTACCCTGATAACAATATTAGCTATGTCAATACTTACCCTGCTGACAATATTAGCTATGTCAATACCTTCCCTGCTAACAATATTAGCTATGTCAATTCCTACCCTGCTTACAATATTAGCTATGTCAATACTTACCCTGCTAACAATATCAGCTATGTCAATACTTACCCTGCTGACAATATTAGCTATGTCAATACCTACCCTGATGACAATATTAGCTATGTCAATACCTACCCTGCTGCCAATATTAGCTATGTCAATACCTACCCTGCTGACAATATTAGCTATGTCAATTCCTACCCTGCTGACAATATTAGCTATGTCAATACCTACCCTGATGACAATATTAGCTATGTCAATACCTACCCTGCTGCCAATATTAGCTATGTCAATACCTACCCTGCTGACAATATTAGCTATGTCAATTCCTACCCTGCTGACAATATTAGCTATGTCAATACTTACCCTGATAACAATATTAGCTATGTCAATACTTACCCTGCTGACAATATTAGCTATGTCAATACCTTCCCTGCTAACAATATTAGCTATGTCAATACCTACCATGCTCACAATATTAGCTATGTCAATACTTACCCTGCTGACAATATTAGCTATGTCAATACCTACCCTGATGACAATATTAGCTATGTCAATACCTACCCTGCTAGCAATATTAGCTATGTCAATACTTACCCTGCTGACAATATTAGCTATGTCAATACCTACCCTGCTAACAATATTAGCTATGTCAATACTTACCCTGCTAACAATATTAGCTATGTCCTGTGACCTTCGGATCAGTGTTTGTTTATTACGTCCCTGTCGTTCAAACTGCAATAGAATTAAAATTCATTAAAACTCTTCTTTAGAGCCCACTCGAGAGATGAATAAAAGACAGTCCTCACAGTCACAGCTGAGTCTACCACATCGGTAGAACCTTTCCATATAATTCACTAGAGACATTTATTATTTTATTTAAGGAACAGTCAACACATAAGTCTTGTATATAGGAAGTAATAAACATAATCATAGCCACTTACACAGCACTTAGCCTGCTGAACCTAGCAGCTCTAGAGTGCTTTACAAATTAATATGAAAGACTGATTTATTATCTAAAGAAAATGTCCATGTTTGACTTTGTTTTGTATATTACCAGGTAGCAAAGTCCACATTTTTCATACTAGACTTGACAGGAACGCAGTGTGATGGTATGTATTTACTATTGGTTAGGTTTGTTTGGGGTTGTAAACACTTGCAAGGCTATATCTAAGCTAAGAAATATAGCTGTTTCTGCTACACAATCTTTTGTGTTTTTATTCTTTATGACAAAGTTTTAAATAAATAAGAAGAAAAAATAGCAGGTGAGAGCGTGCATTTTTTTGATATTTTGACACTGGCTTCTTTTTGACAACCTGAAAAGTAGAAAGTGAAAATGTAGATTCAAAGATATGATCAGATATCCCTACATTAATTTGTGTGACATTATTAATGATGAACTGTGAAATCAGTGGCATTACTAGTCTGTTTGATATATTGGTCAACCATATAGTTGAACTGACATCAGTAAACAAGTTATGTCAACTATGTTATAAGGCTGTTTGACAATGTTATACTTACAGTGCGGTGGTCGTTAACTATGAAGAGTTCCACAAATCTGGCATTCTCGTTGCCATCATAGGGTCCCCTGATACTCCGCCTCACCTAAGCCATACAGACAGCATGTTGTCAGATTAGTTATAAAGATATAGTCATATCACTCTTGACGTTCATTATGGGGGATCAATAATTAGGGTTTTGTTCCTGGTACAAAGCCTTTATGGGATTCAAATTATGCTCAACCCATTCATATTTATAGTCAATAGTATTAATTAACTATCAGCGAAGCAATGAAATGACAGGTAGGGGTGTTAAATAACTTTCAGTCAGCAAATGTATTGAAAATATAACCTGCAAAATATAGGTGTTCTAAGGTAGTATATTACTGTACCTTTAGTTGAGTTCATCGCTAATAGCTTATTGAGTAAACAAACAACAGAAAATTAATGTCATTTCAAGATATAACAGTCAAAGGATAATGGCATGATGGATATTTTTTCCAGATTTTATATAGTCAAAAGGAAATGAGGTAGCACAAATGCTACTTCCAGGTATCCAATGGAATTCAGAAACATGATGCTCCTCTCCTTAAAAACAGGAAAATCATCTTACCCTTTGGGAAAATTCCTTCCTGTGCAAATTGTTGACTGTGCCATTGACAAAAAATATGGATTGTTTGTCATCTGATTCTGAGTGAAATAAAAATAATAACACATTCATTTAGAGACTATTATAGTAACAAACAAAATTAGTTACCATATAACTTTGTTTATTATGTACCCACAGTATTGAATACCATTTAGCATTTAATTGTTAAAATGACCTTTAGTTGTAGATGTGACCTTTCAAATGTTTGTTTGTAAATGCTATAAAGACCTACAGATTTCTAGATTGAACTGTTATCATAACTTTGTAATACATTATGACCTTGACTTTTTTATTTTCAATATAACATTATTATCTGGTTGTAAATATGATGTTGAATTCCTCTGTGACTATTATTCTACTAACCACAATGTGTGTGAGAGCCTGGATTAGGACCCAGTGACACCTCCTTGTAGACCTTGATTGAGCCTGGTACCGCCTCGTCCACAGGCTCAACATGGTAAGTCTCATGGTCCACAGTAACAAACCCACTGCAAATACACACACCAATTAAAATACCTTCACTTGTAATGGTAACTTGGTGATTTCAAAGTTAAAAAAAATCCAAGCTGATATTTGTTTTCGTGTTATTTTAAAAGTACCTGTAATTCACATGAACAATGGATGAGCTATACATTTTTAACATTACATTATTTTCACATCAGTTTCTTTGTTATTTTACAATTTCAAATAATTTCCCTGAATTTGTTTTTCGGCCTTATTTGATGAAATTCAACACAGCATTTCTGTTGGTAATATTCATATAATTATTCTTTTATTAGATTTTTAACATTTTTTTTTTTACATTTATGATACTGTAACCCAGTTACCTACAAAATATCTTTCTAAACTCAGATTGATTACTATTACCACCATGTCTAACAACTACAAACATCCTCTCCCATGACAAGGATTTTCTTACTTGATTCCTCCGCATGTGCTGAGAGCTGCCATAGAGTTAGGAGTATCTCGCAGGCCACCATGGTAAAAGCAATGATTGGATATCTACAACAGAGCATTAATAGTTTTTCAATTGCTTGAACTGGACATTATGTAACTAAAGAATACAGAAATGACATGTATCATTTAGTTTCAAAGACTTATTTACTTAAGGATCCCTGTGCCACTGCAGTGCTGTTTTTTATAGCAGTATTACCTCCCCTTAACTTCTGTTTGGATATAACAGTAGCATATTATATAGTGGGTCTAGAAAACTTGTTGACCAGGTGGCCCAGTCCGTTAGAGCAATGATTCATCAAAATGTAGTCCTGGGTTGGAATCCGGGTCTAGTCCTGCTAGGTGGTTTTTTTAAATCAGAACACTGTTGTTGATTATGATTTGTTCATTTCATCTTTTATTAATGCTCATAAAAGTCCTGCAACATTTTATTTTATTTTCAAGAATGATAAATCAAATCTAAAGTCAAGCCGAAAATATCCGTTTCCAACATTACATTACAGTTTTTAGACTTAGTACAGGGATCCTTAGTTACCCATTACATGTATTAGTAGTGGAGGGGGTTGTGCTCCATGCACTGTAATATAAAATTCTAAATCAGACCCTAGGCGTGGCTATTGTTTTGCATCTAACAGTCAGCTCAGCTAGTAACACACACTCATTCAAAATAACAACATAGGATATCAACAAAATGTCATATAGCAAATACTGTAAATAACCTATCATCAAAACAGCAAGTTTTAATATAACAATGAAAGGTTATTTCACTGTAAGGTGAGGAAAGTCTGAAATAGTGCATAATGCATTGCCTTTTTGCTTATCATAAAAAGGCAAAAAAATAAATAATTAAATGTCAAAACATAAATAATAATTTGGGCATTTTATCTAATTCTTTTTATTTTTTTCATCAAATTGTATTAAATGATTTGCCTCCTTTGCCAACAGGAATCTCTTAACTGTTTATAATTTGTATTAAGTGACTGTAAGGAATAAGATGTTTGTCTACATCTTGTTTTGTATGTGATTGATGAATACTGAGGAAAATTGTGTTGTTTACAAACCTTTTGTTTCATTATTTTTGGGGGTTTGAAGAAGATATTTCAAAACGTTTTGTTGGTGTTGGAGTATATGAAAATTTGTAAATAACCTCCCCAAGAATAGATCTCCTTTATGCAGTCTCAATATCCTGACATGTGAAAAATTAGTTTTAAAATTACACTTCTGTTTATATTCTTTAAATGTACAAAGAGTAGCTTAATTAATATATTATAGTCTTTAAGTAAGTCCTTAGATTAACACAACTGTTTCATTTACCTTCAAATTTGTATCGCAAATTTCATTGAGAGTTATCTCTGCCCTTCCCCATTTAATAAACATTTCATATATCTAAATACAGTTGACCTAGTCTACCCTTCCCCATTTACAAAAATATTTCATATATCTCAATACCTAGTCGACCCTTCCCCATTAACAAAAATATTTCATATATCTCAATACCTAGTCTACCCTTCACCATTTACAAAAATATTTCATATATCTAAATACCTAGTCTACCCTTCACCATTTACAAAAATATTTCATATATCTCAATACCTAGTCTACCTTCCCCATTTACAAAAATATTTCATATATCTAAATACCTATTCTACCCTTCCCCATTTGATAAATATTTGTATATCTAAATACCTACATAATGACCTCAAATATTTTGTACATGGTTGACAGGGTTTATACTTACCAGGTACATGGTTTTCTGGTTTGTATCCATGGTTTATACTTACATGGTTTTCTGGTTTAATTTGTATACAGGGTTTATACTTACATGGTTTTCTGGTTTGTATACATGGTTTATACTTACATGGTTTTCTGGTTTGTATACAGGGTTTATACTTACATGGTTTTCTGGTTTGTATCCATGGTTTATACTTACATGGTTTTCTGGTTTAATTTGTATACAGGGTTTATACTTACATGGTTTTCTGGTTTGTATACATGGTTTATACTAACATGGTTTTCTGGTTTGTATCCATGGTTTATACTTACATGGTTTTCTGATTTGTATACATGGTCTATTGCATGGTTTTCTGGTTTATATACATGGTTTATTTACACTTACATGGTTTTCTGGTTTGTATACATGGTCTATTGCATGGTTTTCTGGTTTATATACATGGTTTATACTTACATGGTTTTCTGGTTTGTATATATGGCTGCCACTGTCCTTTATAGTTTTTTCTATGTATGCTTTAGAAAATAAATGTCTGAAAAGGAAAACAATAAATCAAAAGTCGTTCATAGGAAATTTGTTAAGATATTTTTTATAGCCATTCCAGCAAATTCAGAAATGTGTATCAGGATACAGGAATGTTTGAAATTCACAAATCATTATACTGATCAACTTTAAATTCATGAATACTCAACTGCTATTCTGAAAATTGAAATTGGATTGAAGAAAATTGTAGCTACATAATTTATTTAACTTTTGTTTCCCTTCTTTTCTGTTCAGATTAAACATGATTATTTTATCCAGTTAAACAAGAGGCCCTATGGGCCTGCATTGCTCAACTGGTATAAATCCCACATCTGTAACCTTAAAAGTGATCTAAACTAAAGCTACAGGCAAAATATCAGTATTTATGACTATGTCAGTCAAAAGAACCTGTTAAGAGATTTTAAAACATTTGACCCCTGTGACTTTGAAAGACGCACAAGGTCATAAGATTGAACAAACTTTATAGCCCTTCATCTCAGCATGCAACTTGCCAAATATCACCACCCTAGACCTTTTATTGATTGAGATTAGGTCATTGAAGGTTTATACATATTTGACCAAATGTGACATTGAATTCTTTCAATGTCACATTTGGTCAAATATGTATGGTCAAGGTCATTCAAATGACTTGATAGCCCTTCATCCAGGCATGCTACTGGCCAATTTTCAACATTCAAGGTCTCATGGTTATTCAGAAGAAGTCGTTTAAGGATTTTAAACAAAATTGACTCCTGTGACCTTGAATATAAGTCAAGGTCATAAATTTTAACAAACTTGGTAGCCCTTTATCCTAGCAAGATACATGCCAGATATCGACATTCTAGACCTTATGGCTATTCAGAAGAAGTCGTTTAATGATTTTGAACATATTTGCCCCCTTTGACCTTTTATATAAGTCAAGGTCATTCATTTGAACAAACTTGGTAGTCCTTTATCCTAGCATGCTACTGGCCAGATACAATTTCCCTGGGCCTTTTGGTTATTCATCAGAAGTCGTTTAAAGTTTTAAACATATTTGACCCCTGTGACCTTGAATATAAGTAAAGATCATTTATTTGAACAATCTTGGTGTGGTAGCTCTTCATCCCAGCATGCTACTGGCCTAATAACATCACCCTAGGCCTCTGGTAATTCAGAAGAAGTTATCTAAAGGTTTATAGACAATTGACCCCTGTGACCTTGAATATCAGTGAAGACCATTCATTTAAACAAGCTTGGTAGCCATTAATCCCAGCATGTTACTGGCCATATATCATCACCCTAGGCCTTTTGGTTATTCAGAAGAAGTTGTTTCAAAGGTTTTAAACATATTTCAGACCCTGTGACCTTGAATATAAGTAAAGGTCATTCATTTGAACAAACACTTGGTAGCACTCCATCCCAGCATGTTACTGGACAAATATCATCACCCTAAGCCTCTTTCAATTGGTTATTCAGAAGAAGATGTTAAAATATATTAGCATATTTGACCTCTGTGACCTTGAAAGTGGATGAAGGTCATTCATTTGAACAAACTATGTAGTCCTTCATCCCAGCATGCTACTGGCCATATATCATCATCCTAGGCATTTTGGTTACTGAGAAGAAGTTGATTAAAGTAAAAAGTTGACGCCGGACAGACGGAGACAGACGCCAGGCAGACCCTTCGGTCAGGTGAGCTAAAAATGAATATATTTGACGTCTGACAATAAAGTCTTCAGATATCACAAAGCAAACCGACTCTACCCACTCCACTATTATTTCATTGTACACAGCTATACAATTGTAGATATATATATAGAAGTAAAGGATTCTGCATGTTCATATTCAGTACAATTCTCAAAAACAAACTGTACAACCAGCTATGGACAATACCAATGGCAACCATGGCTATTTGCACAACCTGAAGCAGTTATTTACTTTTTATGGTGTTTTGGTGGTTTGGTTTGATTGTGCTTTATGTCCTTTTAACAGCTTTAGTCATTTAAGGCAAGCCAGATTTCGGTGGCAGAGGAAAACCAGATTTTAGTGATGGAGGAAAAGCAAACCAGATTTTAGTAATGGAGGAAAAGCAAAGAATCTGGAGAAAAACTATCAACCTTAGGCCAGTACCTGGTGACTGCTCAATGAAGGCCCCCAACCCGCGACTCAGTGGTGAAGGACTTGAGAGTACTAGTTTGTAGACAGTCAGACACCTTATCCGTACTTAGACAGCCCAACCCGTGATTCATGATGGTCATATATAAGACGTTTTTCTTGACAATATTTAACTTATAAATATGTGTATATGAATTCATATATGAATAATAAGAGTTGTATAAGGAGTTTGTTTTGTCCTTTTGGACAACCACTAATATCAAACTGTATCTCTTTAGTTTTGCCATTAATGATTTCTGTAAGATGATGGATGTCCAAGTAAATATTTCTCAAAGTTAAATATTAATGGAAAATTAACATATTTTGTTCTTATTAATTAGTGCACCATTGTGTTTCTACTAATGCATCAACCTGTCAGGAAAACATCACATAGGACCACCATATAGAGAATAATTGCTTCACCTGCTCCTACATTTGAGATATTGAAATTGGCAACTGGTCTTAATATGTCAATGTGAAACTTATATATTCTACCAAAATGTGTAAAGAATTCTTAATAATGGTTTCTATTCTCTTATAAATTCATCTCGATCAACAAACACAGAAACAGAAATGGTGTATTAACATTTAGTTCTACGACACAAGTAGAAAATGTTGTGTGAAAGTTTAATTAATACACAATAATAAGCTTGGCATAAGAAAGATCAATACCATAGTAATGAATGTGTCCACGCCTTTGTTTCTAGGGAATAAATGCATGTCTAAAATCTTCCATTCCATTCCATTTTTGTAAGATATCTCATGTTAACTCATTCACTCTTGAAAACACATTTGAACGCTTCCAATTCAATAGTTGTAATAGTTCATTATGAAATTTCAGGGGTGAATGAGTTCAGGATCTGCTCTGCTATTTTTCCTTTATACAGTAACCTCCCCTTAACTTTCGTTTAGATATAACTGAGAACAGTTATAAAGATGCTTCTGTGGACACCAGGTAGCACAATTGCTTAAAGAAAAAGAATTTCTGTTGACCAGGTAGCTCAATTGCTTCAAGAAAAAGATTTTCGGTTGACCAGGTAGCTCAATTGCTTAAAGAAAAAGAATTTCTGTTGATCAGGTAGCTCAATTGCTTCAAGAAAAAGAATTTCTGTTGACCAGGTAGCTCAATTGCTTATAGAAAAAGAATAACAATCTGAAGCTGAGGGTTCCAATCCCGGTCAAGCCCCCTGATTTTGTTTGACAATCAGAACACTCTTGTTGATCACAATCCGGTATAGTTTTCTCTTCAGAAATGATTTATCAAAGCTAAAGTCATGTTGGAAAAAACAGTTTTCAATAGTTAAACTTGGCAGTGGTACTGGGATCCTTAAGGTCAATCGTTAAAGTGCAATAAGAATTATTACCATTAGCAATATCATGACACATTGAAGTTATTTTCAACAGATGTATTCCAAATAAAACACTTTCAAAGCATTCTACAGAATTAAGGTAGTTCAAAATTCGAGTTTTTGAACACAAAAAATAAAGAAGTCAGTAAAATAGCCATTCAAAAACTCACAATCTGAACTACCTTAATTCTGAACAAGAGGCCCAAGAGGGCCTGTATCGCTCACCTGAATATTTAAGCAGTCATAGCAAAATATTATCATTAAATATTATATTTCACTAAAAATATTTCCCTCGCAAACTTTGTTGGCTCCATCTGTTGAAACTACCAGCAAAATATTATTATAAGATTCTATGCTTTTTGATTCTTCTTCAGAAGTTGCTGACATATTTTTCCCTGTGATCTTGTAAGTAGGTCAATGTCATTTTCCTTCTCAAATTGGTTAGCTCTATTCCAAAAAGCTACCAGCCAAATCTTATGAATCCATTCCTTTTAGTTCTCAAGAACAAATCCATTAAAATGTTGTTGACCTCTGTGACCTCTAAAGTAGGTTGAGGTCATTTTCATTTGCAAACTTTGGTGAGCTCTATCCCGGGAAGTCACCAGCCAAATATTATAATTTTATGCCTTTTAATTCTTCAGAAGAAGCTGTTTGAACTGTTTGACATATTTGAACGCTGTGACCTTGAAAGTAGGTCAAGGTCATTTTCATTCGCAAACTTTGTTTGGCTCTTTCCCAGGAAGCCACCTGCCAAATATTAAGATTTTATAACTACCAGTTCTTCAGAAGAAGTCGTTTAAAGTGTTTGACATATCTGCCTCATGTGACCTTAAAAGAAGGTCAAGGTCATTTTCATTCTCAAACTTTGTTCGGCTCTTTCCTAGGAAGCTACAAGCCAAATATAGAGATTATATACCTTTCAGTTCTTCAGAAGAAGTCGTTTGAAGTGTCTGACACATTTGACTCCTGTGACCTTGAAAGAAGGTCAAGGTCATTTTCATTCTCAAACTTTGTCGGGCTCTATCCAAGGAAGCCATCAATCAAAAATAAAGATTCTATACCTTTCAGTTCTTCAGAAGAAGTCATTTGAAGCTTTTGACATATATGACCCCTGTGACCTTGAAAGTAGGTCAAACTAGTTTTCATTCTCAAACTTTGTTGGGCTCTATCCCAGGAAGCCACCAGCCAAATATAAAGATTATATACCTTTCAGTTCTTCAGAAGAAGTCGTTTGAAGTGTTTGACACATTTGACCCCTGTGACCTTGAAAGAAGGTCAAGGTAATTTTCATTCTCAAACTTTGTTGGGCTCCATCCAAGGAAGCCATCAGCCAAATATGAAGATTCTATACCTTTTAATTCTTCAGAAGAAGTCGTTTGAAGTTTTTGACATATTTGACCCCTGTGACCTTGAAAGTAGGTCAAACTAATTTTCATTCTCAAACTTTGTTGGTCTCTATCCCAGGAAGCCACCAGCCAAATATAAAGATTCTATACCTTTCAGTTCTTCAGAAGAAGTCGTTTGA